GAGCCAGGATACGAACGATCCCATCCAGCTCTGTACGACCGAGAGTCCTTCCCTGATCTTCCCTGCCATCTCTTCGACTGCCACCGTGGCTGTCCCGACGATGGTGGCTCCTGTTAACTCGATCCAGGTACACTCATGTTCACGTCGGCTGCTTCCGCAGCTCAACCAGTGCTCTTCTGGTGAATAGCACGTTCCGTTCCCATATAGGCGATTAGGCCCTATCCACTCAAATCCTTTGTCTTCCTTTCCTTCACACAGACTCTTCCTGAAGGCGTGACCCTCAGCCAGAAAAACTGTAGGGTCCGTTACTGGCGGGATGATCTGTCCGTTCACATTCTTTCTGTTTTTCATACGATGGCCCAGGATTAAGTTGGTACAGCTGCTTGTTAGCGGTCCTGATCTCCATTTCGCGTCTCTCCCTTTCACCCAGGTTACTTCTTGCACATGGGTGTCATACTCATCACCATAGTGTCTTTGGCAATGGTCTTCCCACCCTGGCACGGCTTCACAATGTCTCCCGGCCAGGCTGATGTTGCAAGTAGTGTTGCCTCGGTTACACTCCATCTTCCAGAGTCGTGGGCCTGCATATGGTTCGGGTTTGCTCCATACTCCGGGCCAGATGTCTCTGTCTTTTGAGTACACTGTGGCAATGTACTGATACTTCACCCAGTAATTCGGTGTCTGAGTTAGGCACGGCACAACCCATTCCAACATTTCATCCTTCTGTAGGCCCCACCAGGTTGAGCTACCATCTCTGGTATGGCCCTCTTTCTAAGCTTGTAGGGTCCCTTTGATGGTTTGATTTTCCTTCAGGCCCGTACAGTCATATAGCCATGTCCCCCAAACCCGGTGCCACTCTTGCCAAAGCGTGCATCGCGGTGAGGCTCCCTCGGCTAGATACTCTGTACCATTCAGAGCAGCAAACATTTTGTTGGTCACACGTGTCGATTTTTTGGAAATCTCCGAGTGGGACTGTCATCAACTCCTCTGGTTTAGGCAGTTTTTGTACATACATGTCTGTCCTTCCAGGTCCTACGAGGCCGTGGCTGGCCCTGGAGTATCCCTGGCGGAAGGATCCCCGGAAATGCTCCAGCAAAGTTACCCATATCCAGGGCAGTGTGCTGTTGAGCCATTCCTCGTGCTGGGCATTGGGTTGGGGTAGATAGAGGTACTTATGAGCCTGATACTGTGGTTTTGTTGCCGTACTCGGGGTAAATCCAATTACACTGTGCCCTTTTCTCTGCTCTTCCTCCCCAGATCAAGATAGTTATCTTCATTTCCTCTTCTTCCGTGGATATTTCATCCACCTTCCATGTTGAATTCTCTGTCACTCGCTGGATTTCATTTGTCCAATCTGCTTTATTGTCTGTGTCATTGATTCCACCCGTTTGCTTCCAGGTAGCAATCCACTCGATGATAGTAGCAGTCAGATTCGGGGCTGTCTCACCCCCTTCTTGCAGTCTAGTTAGACCCTCCAGGTCCAACCGGGTGGTGTTGCTCCCCCATCCAGCAAATTTGGAGAGAACAATTGTTGCAGGTTCCACCGTCCAGCATGTCTGGTCGAACCTCTTTGTGGTAGTGTAGGACACCCTTACATGAGTTAGGGCCCATGGTTCACTACCATAGTGGTACAGTATGGCCAAGACAACTGCTAATCCTGCCATTACTGCTACTATTTTAGCCATTACGCAAAAACATATCCATTGTCCGTTCCGTGGTCGTTTACTTGATTGTTGCCGTCGCTTGCCGCCGTTTACTGATTTGTTGGGTTTTAATCTTGCGGGTCGCCTAGTTCCTTGAACTCCCCCACGCAGGCTGGGGAGATCCATGGAGTAGGTGTCGCCTGGGTGGAGATCTGCGGTTGCAGGTCCGTTGTCGGTTCGTGATGGCTGGAGCTGAAGTACGGAGGCGAGTCCGGGTCAGTCTGAACAACCCTTCCCTTCAGGAGTCGATGATATAGCACTGAGGGGTGGTGTCCTATTCTTTCGTCCAGCGCTCTCCACACCCATCGATAGTAGGTGACTACCAGCGACGCTGGCCGTGGGAGTGGCCCGATGCAGTCTCCATCGTTATCCACGCGCCAAGTCAGCCGTCTGTACCCCTTCTTCTGTTCCGGTGAAATATAGTTTCTGACTTGGGTGAGTGCTGCGAATAGGGGCTCTCCTTCTTCCGTCTGGAGCTCCGTTACTTTTGCCCATAGGTCGGAGTGATTTTGCTGGAGGTGCATCCAATTCCTGACCTTGGTGTATGGCATATTCATCATCCGTAGGTCTGGGCTAGGGTTTAGCGGGCCTGGACTAGGCAGGCAGTAATGGACAGTGTGTAACCTCACGTCGTGATTCTCAATGACACAATGTTTTTTGTTTTTAACGTGCAGAGCCGTTCGGCGCCGCATAATTGGGCTGTTTGTCCAAATCACCTCCTCACCCAGCCAAATCTCGACATATTCGTCTTGCAAATGGTCAGCGTAGTTGGGTCCCCACCTTAATTTCAGATGTTTTCCTTGCACTGTTAGGTGAGTGGTGTTCAAGATCCAGGGAGACGAGGCAGGACAACAGGGGACCGGCTGCATCAACCATGGGCAAGTCAGCATGACTAAGATTCTGTCATACTGGAGCTCCCAGCCGTTCCGTGTGGTCCTTCATAAGTCTCCCTTCCCTGGTATTTGTAGGTCTGGGGATCGTTGGTACTCGCCATTGCTGCAAAAATATGCTCCGGATCCACAGAAACCTTTTCTGTATAAAAAATCTCTCTTTGGTTTGTCAAGGTAGATTCTTTCATTTGGCAATTTAATATATGGTCTTACTGGTGTATTGGGGGCAGAGGTAAGCCTTTTCCTTTTCCGTCCTTGTTTGCCTTTTTGGTTTGGGTGCGACATTGCAACAATCAACTTCCTTTTTCTTCAATTATGTTTCTACTCGCTCTTGCTTCTGTCTCTTCCTCCACCAGAGTTCAATTTGTGGAACGCCTTCCGGGCCCATGCTCTAAACCCTCTAGATCTTACGCGTGGTTCCGGTGGAGGCCACGCCTCGTCCGCTCTGGTCAGAACAACCCCAATGGAGAATACTCCGACGAATGGGACCATCACGGTCCTCACCGTCACCATTACGCGCATTGTCCGCTCCGGCCATGTGGGCGTGGCCGCTCTAGTCGCCCATGAACCTGGTATTTGCATGACTCCGTCTCTTTGCCACCCCTCCGGGGTGACCGTAAAGATCTTACTTTTTTCTTTTGCCCTGGCTCCTGTGTGGCCAAAGGCATCCAGGTTTCTGACTTGATAATGGAGATTCGTGCCTCGGGCTCCGTCTTCTCTTGGCACCACGGCTAGTTCCTGTACCTGGGCAGTATTATCACAGAAAACTTCCTCGATCAACCGGTTCCAGGAAGTAAGCTCCCAGGGCCCCATCCAGCCGTGGGTCATTGCCATGTCTCGTCGGCAATCTGGCAAACCTGCTGCCACCGAGCAATACCCTGGTTCGTCAGGGTCGCGATAAACCCTGAAGGCAGAAGGAACCTGCACTGCGGCCAGTGGTGGGTAGGTGACCTCTGCCTGGGCTGGGCTGTATGGCCAATTCCTCCACACTGCCTCTCTCCAAGTTCCCCTTGGTCCAGCTATCCGGCCCCCACTGGCCTCCTGCGGTTCTTCATCCGATTGGTCCAGAGATGGTGCAGAGGGTACCCCGGGCTCGTCGCGAACTGTTTCAAGAGGAGTCTCAGGAGCCCGCGAGTCCCATGAGGCGGGTGCCAGGGTCTGCAGGGGCTCAAGGAACTTCCTCACCTGCCATCCCTCTGCGGTACCAGCCTGCACCATTTTCCCACTTCTTTGGAGAAGGGCACATGATCCACAGTGGTGCAGCCGCTCCCCGTCCCATTGGCCTCACCCCTCGTAGGTCCCACTGGGTGATGATGGTTAACCTGGGCAACGTTTCCACGCGGCACATGCCGCATACGTATGCATCCATAACCTTCACCGGCTTATGGTGCATGTTGTTAAACTCTTCTTTTCCCGGTAACCCGAACCGGTTTCCGGGTCCCTCCCATTGAACAACTAGGGTGGTCGGCATCATGCAGACCACGCAGTCGTTCTTTCATTTTCTCCATTGTATCACCTCCTTTTCTCCGGAGATAAATCCTCTCTTTGCATACTCCAACTTCTTCAGGGCTCTGCCTGCCCAGACCCCCGTAGTACTCCTTCTCATGGTAACCACCCCTTTGACATTGGCCACTCTGACGTAGGGTGGTAAACCTTGTATGTTAGTGGCCATGCTTGAGTTCCTGGTTTTCTCCTAGTTTGGAACTGGCTTCAGCTGCTCCACTCCCTGGATTCCTTTCTTCTTGAGTTGAACGGTGTTGCTGTCCAAAATTTTCACCACTATGTCGGATTTGTCGTACTTGGCTTTGACTGCAGAGTCAGGTGCACCGACCTGAGCCTTGATCCAGACTCGCTGTCCTACTCTAAGTGGGACTTTCTGCTCGAGCTTGGGTTCTTTATCCTCCAAGCCCCGCCCTACTTCCTGTGACGTGAAGGGGCGGTGCATCAGCTCCTCCGCCGGGGAGGGCCTGTCACTTTGGTAGCGGTCGTTCAAGGCCCTGGCAATGTCTAGGGTCTTAGTGCTCCATTCTCTGGAGTTGGCATTTTTCCCAATCCAACTTTTCACCAAACCAATGGTCCTTTCCACCACCCCATTGGCTTGGGGAGTGTATGGGGGAGAGAAGATCATCATTACCCCATTCTGTTGGCACCATTGGTCCACCTTGGCGTTGCGAAAATGTGTGCCGTTGTCAGTTCTGAGCTCCTTAGGCACGCCTAAGTAGCCACAGACTTGGTCCAGCATGCTAACAACACTGTTGCCGTTAGCCTTTCTCACCGCTTTTGTGGTCACGTATCCTGACATCGAGTCCACAAGCACCAACAGGTACTTTTCTCCGTTCTTCCCCGATACCCCTAGGGGTCCTGCCACATCCATGCATACTGAACCCCAGGGAACAGTACTTTTAATGGTGAGTCCTCCCACCCTTTGTCCTCTCCTTCCTGCATTGTATCGACCACACAACTCACAGTCTTTTAGGATTCTTCGGACCTCTCTTTCAGGAATCCAGAGTCGCTGCTTTTCCAGTTCCCTTCGCGTCGGAACGGTGCCTGCATGTCCTAGTGCTCCATGCACCGCCTGCACCACTTCCTTCACGTTCTCTTCTGGGACTACCCTTCCTTTGGGCAGTTCTTCCCACTTCTCGATCCCAACAAAGACAACTTGTCTCATCTGGACGAAACGGTCCACTTCTTCGTTTCCTTGCCAGTGAGTTCCTGCTCGCGTGTGGGCCCTCTGGTGCACCACTTCGAGCTCCATGGTTAGCCGCAATTCGGCTATTTTCCTCCATAGGTCTTCGTGAGCCACTTTTTTGTTTTTAGCGCTCTCGAAACCATTTTCTTCCCATATGGACAGGTCTTCGTTAAGGGCCTGAGCACAGTAATAACTGTCCGTTATCACTCTGGCTCTTTTCACCCTTCTCCTCTCCAATTCGAGCAGACCTTCCAGTATCGCTGTTACCTCCCCGGTCTGGGCACTACCGGGGACTTGGCCCCGTTGTCTTGAGCGTTCCTTCTCTTTCTGCTTGAGAATGAACCCCCAGTAGGCCTTGTCGTCTTGTCCTTTCCTCGACCCGTCGGTGTACAGGGTCCACTCTAACGGTTCGGGTGGTGTGTCGTCTGGTTGCGTCTTTTTCTTGCTTGAGGGCTGTGCAGGGCCGATCTCGAGGTCCGGGTCCAGCAGGATATCTTCCCAACGACCCCATCTGGTGTTCGTTGCTTTTGTGCTCTCTACCGTGGCTTTGCGCAGGAATCGATGGACCTGGCTTTGAGTGAGGACCCTGATGCCCTGCCCTTGGGCTAGATCTTTCAGGGTACTCCAATACCTTGCCAGGACTGCCAACTCCTTTTCTTCTGCAGGATATTTCTTTTCCACAGAGGACAGGGTATAGCTCCACAATGTCACTATCCCCGCACCTTTGTTGCTCACTTTTATCACTGCATCGTCCTCGTTGCAACTGACCTCTGCCACCAGCTTCGTTGTCAGACTTCGTGGCTCCAGCCTCAAAGCTCCTTTGATGGCTGTCCTCAGGTTTTCCAAGTTTGTTTGATCCATCGCTGTCCATTCCCACTTCTTGTGGGTCTCCTCAGGATCTTCTTTTCTCAACTTGGCATACAGTGGTCTTGCGTACTTCTGGTAGCTCGGGACATGGTCCCTAACATAGTTGCAGAGTCCCAGCACCTTCTGTAGTTCGTTCAGTGAGGTAGGTGGGTCGATCTGCTCCACTTTTCCCCGAAATCCGTCTGAGAGTCCCAGGTCAGTAGAGACCTGGAACCCCAGGTAGTTCACTTGGAACTGTCCAAATTGGCCTTTCTTCAAATTTAGTTTCAACCCTGCCGCCGTAAGCCGTTCAACCACTTTTCTCAATTTCGCCAGATGTTCTTCTTCTGTGTCATCTGCAATGCATACATCATCGATGTATATGGTTGCTTCCAGACCGTCCAGTATGTCCATTACGGCTGACTAAAAAACATTTGGAGAGTTTTTGTAGCCTTGTGGCAGCCGTTCCCAGACGTACGATTTACCTTTGTGGGTGAACGCCGTCTTGCCTTGGGAGGCTTTGGCAAGCCTCAGTGAGAAAATCCGTTTGCCAGGTCAATGCAGGATTTGTACTTTTTCAGTCTCAGAGTTTTCAGCGTCCCTTGGGGGTTGATCAGGCTGGCTCGGTTGGCGACAGTTCTGCGGTTGAGGGCCTTGAAGTTGATGACAGGTCTCCATCCTCCTCCCAATGACTCAGGCTTCTTGACTGCCTGTATTGGGCTGTTGGTGATGGGATATGGCTCCTCTCGCACTACTCCCAAGTCGCTCAGTTCCGTGACGATCAGGTCCATTTCTGCAATTGCACCAGGGTTCAGTGGATACTGGCGGACAGGCGGGTGTACACCTCCTTCTATGGTGTGGGTATACTTCACACCCAGGTCCCCACAGTCATTTTTGAACCGAGCCACTCCAGCCTTTGATAGGATGTCTTTTAGCGTTTCTTTTCCCTCCGGGGATAAGTCGCTTTCTTCTATCTTTTGCTTGCTTATCGCTGGAATGTCCACTGGTTTGTACCATTGCCTTGTTGCTGATCCCAGGTGGATCAATCTTGCCCCCAGGGTCTTCAGTCGTTTTTCCACTGAAACTCTGGTTTCTGGGCTTCCATGCAGCCCTTTTAAGTCCTTTATTGTCATTAAATTGTAGGGTCCTAGAGCCCACACAATTCCTTTCCAGATCCCAAAAGGGACCTTTTTTTGATGGTTCCATCGGCTAGTTGAACTGTCAGGTGTCCTTCTGTTTTAAGGCTTTTGCGGGTCATCGACACTTCAGCACCGGAGTCTATCTGGTAGGGGATTCCATCCAATTGGTATAGATGTCATCTCCAACCCAGTAAGCATGCTCCACTGTGACCCGCGCCTGCTTAGCCATTACTTTCTTGGAACTTCGCTCCCTGCTTCCATGCGGGAGACACGAAGGGCCTGTTTTTGCTCTGTTGTCAACTTGTTGTAATCTTCGGAGGAGAGAAAGCCGGCCCCACCTTTGTTGGCTGGTGGGGGCCTCGGGCTGGGCTTTCGGGAAACTGCCTTGTCCTTGGAATCCTTGTTGCCTTTGGAAGCCTTGCGGGGCCCTTTGGAATCCTCCTTGCTGTCTCCTTGGTGTCTGTGAAGGGCCGGGCCCCTCGGGTGGCCTCGTATTGTCATACGAGGGCCTAGGAGCCGCCGGCTTCGGTTGGCTTCCTTTCTCTCTTTTCTCGTCAAAGTGTTTTTTCTTCAAATCCCATTTTCTTACAGTTTCTTGGATTTGTTCTGTAGTACTTTTCTTGATGTTCAGGGTCACAAAATCGATGTCATTCATGAGACCCTTTGTCAGCTTCCTAAGGGCTGGCACACTTCTTTCTGGCGGGATCGCCTGTCGCAAGGCATACCACGCCTGGGTGAGTCTGCCCTTTGTCTAAGCTTTTTCTCGCTTTTTCGATTTGTGACTCTTCGTCCTCGCAATCCTCCAGCACCAATCTTCGGTAGTGCTGTTCCGCAGTTTCTTCGGATCCCATGGGTTGGTCTGTCACATGGGCCAACCACAGTCTCTTCACTTCATCATTTGTGGAGCTGGATTTCACCATGAGCCACTTCTGCATCAAGTATTCTTGTACCGACTCCTTCGGGTCTTTGTTCACCACCATAGCCTTGATCTTTTTGAACTCGTTAAAGCTCTGGGTGGAGGCTTGCATCTCTGTTAACCCGACGTTTCCTTCAGTTGTGGTAAGGTTGTTGCTCCGTTTTGAGCCTGGCCCCGTTCCCGGCTGCTCTTCTTTGCTGTCCGAGATGTCCTGTTGCCGCGCCTTTTCTTCTTCTTGGGCCAACTTGAAGGCTGCTTTCTTCAACCGTCGTAGCATAACATCATACACTATTGCCAGAAAGCCCGTGCGGAAATTACTTGTCAGCTTTGTGCAGGCTGCGAGGGAGCCGTAGGTTGGAGTCATCAGAAAATTCGCCCATTCTCCTTTCGTGGCATAGACCGTTACCCCCTTCATTCCCTCGAGGTTGTGCGTCCACATTTCCGGAACATCGTAACCTGTTTGACCAACTTCTGGAGCATAGGCCTGTCTCCCGTCCTTGGTGGTCATGGGCCCATATCGGTCATCTCTGGCCAGTCCCCGCGAAGCCGAGTACACCGACAGAAGGGGCAGTGGGTTTTTCGGGCCTCTTCTGCTCCCTTGCTTCAGATCTTTCACTGCTCCGGGCGCCTCATATTCGATCGAGGTCAGGCTTGGCACCGTCTCTTCTTCGTCTGACTCGTCTGAGTCGTTGGCTGCGTAGTCTGACTCGCTTTCTACCTCTGGTGACGGTGTGAGTGGCGCTGGATGGGTTGCTTCGGGTGTCCTCACCAGTGTTCTGAGACTTGCCCCACTTTGGCCCTGGCTCATGAACCTTATGGACCCTTACTTTTGTATTTCATTCTCTGCAGGCCTAAGGACTCTGCTGGGCTCGTGCCCGCGTTTTCTGATCGTCTTGGCACAGGAGTCTATACCTCAGTTTGCACTGCTACCCCTCGTGAGTTGGCGGTTGGTGTTTCTTTCTTCTTCGAGGGTTTCTCCTGGCTCGTGCTGGTCCGTGGTGGTCTCATCTCTCGGCTCGATGGTCCAGGTGTCAACTCTAGATAACTCCCCCCTTCATCCACTTCCTTTCGTGGGTCTGGTTTTGAGGGAAGTCGGGGTCGCACTGCCCTAGCAATAGGGGCTTCTTCGTCTTCGTATTTGGGCTTTCCTGCCCTCCAGTTGTTGGGTCCTTCGGTCATCAGGAGGGGTCTCAGTATTTTCTCTTTTCTTTCCTGGTATTGTGCTACCGAGGTGACGATGACCAACTCTTGGATATGACTCCAGCTGTGTCCGACTTTCATCAGTTGGTTCATAACTCTCATGGTCGCTTCTTCGGCCACTTCCCACGGTAGGTCGCCGGACCTTGTGCCGTCAATGCAAATGACAACCCTTTTGTAGGTCAACTCACTGGCTCGATCCACTCCTTCTGCCAGTGCGTCCTCTAGGTCATCCCGGTAGGTGTCCACGTTCTTTCCCCCCTGGTACCCTTCAATTGGTACATGCAGTACCGCAAAGTAGGTTGATTCTCCCCCACTTGTGTCCACTACCGATGTTTTCTTTTTCCGATAGGTGTTGAGCCTTTCTTCAAGCTCTTTTTTGTACTGAGCCCCTCCGTGGTGCATCAGTGCTTTTCTGAACCGGCTGAGATGAGGTTTCAGGTGGGAGTTGGTCAAGACTACCAATCCATGGCCCTCTATGTCCCAGGGTTCCCCGAAATGATTGTAGGTTGTTATCCCGGTCTGATTGGCATACTTCTTGGTGCCTTCGGGCATTTTACTTAGCGGCGGGAGGATGTCGTCCTGTCGCGGGACATTAGGGTGTTTCTTTCTTGTGCTGCTTTGGCTCTTGGTTGTCCATGCCCTCCAGTGTCTTTTGCACTAGAGCGGGGATCCCTAGAGTAAAGGCCGATGAGTGTGCGAGATGTCTTCCGCTTCTGCTCAACAGTGAGTCTTCCTCCTCATCCGATTCATCCACTTTTTCTTCTTTTGAATCGTCAGACTCACTTTCGGCCGAGGCCTCCGCTGGGGTCTCGGTCCCTCCGTGGCTGAAGGTTTCATCTTCTTGTTCGGCATAACAGTCTGTTTTGTATGTAGCGAGCTATGTCGTCTCGCTCCTTTTGGTTTTCTTTGTAGCGAGGTGTAGCCTTTACTGATGGTTTTATAATGACTTCACCCGCTCCTATTTCTGCTGCCAGCATCTTTACTATTGCATCGAAATCCGGTGAGGGACTTATCACGGTGACTATTCTGCCCGTGAGGGTTTGAATCACTAAGAGCCACCAGGCCAGCCAGTCTCCCACTTCTTTCTTGGTTTTCGGCCTTTTCGACCGGTCTGGACACCGTACCACCGCTACAGCCATTCCTGAGAGGAGTTGGGGAGCCATATAACCCCCTTTATCTGTGCACAGTTGGTCTACGTTTTCCCCAACTGTCGCCATGTCCTCCTCTGGATGTAGCTCGATTAGGTGTTGTTGGACGGAGGTGTCCCAGGTGGCCCATCCTCTGCAGTGCAGGATGACCTGGTGTCGCATGCAGCTTTTGCCTTCGTCTTTGTCCGGTGTCGATTCTCCCGATGCCGCTCCTCCAGCCTCGTCGCCCTTCTGGTCCTCGCTGCCGTCCGGTACCGATCCCTCCGACTGGTTCCCCAGCGATGTCACTGGCTCGTCCCGCCGAGTCCCGTCCGGTGCCTGGCTGGGTCCTTGGTCATCTGGTCTTTTCTGCAATTTCTTCTTAGGTTATACTCAATTTTTCGATGCCGAGGCGGCTCGGTGGAGCTGGATTCATGATGTAATAAAAAGTCCTTTTGGGGTTTTCAGGAGCGAAGGACCGGCCGAACCTTCGGCTCCTCCTGCGCGGCCAACGAAGTCCGTTCAGCGACCCCTCAGGCTCAGTACAAAGTCTTTAGGGCGGCTGCGTCCATCTGTTGTCCATCGGTTGTTAAAGTCAAACAGGGGGGAGAGAAAAATCTCCGTCTTTCAATCTTTGTCCAGGAACGGCTGTCTTCTTTCCGTGAACAGAGATGGAGTCCTCCGATGCGGTTGTTGAGCGAGGTCCAGTGTTTCCTCCGTGGAGCACTTGGGTGGCTCCCGCGTTGAATCCCGTCTCGCTATTTGCAAGTCTCTCTTTTTATAACCTTTGAGCTCTCTCTCCCCCCTCCTCCCCAACACTCCCTCCCTCGGCATGTGATTTACATGACATCATTGATTATGTGTGTGTGCTGCGAACAACACCCTAACTCTTTCAGCCTCTCTTGCCAGTACCATGTCTGCCTCCCCTGCCCCGCTGTCTGATAATCCCTCCGATCTTGTAAACTACTACAATAACACACTCTCCTCCTGTCTTGATCAGCTGGCTCCCATCAAAACCAAAACTGTCTCATTCACACA